ATGGGGCCCTATGGGGCTGTGGGGTCCTATGAGGCTATGGGGCCCTATGGGGCTGTGGGGTCCTATGGGGCCCTACAGGTCTATGGGGTCCTACGGGGCTATGGGGTCCTATGAGGCTATGGGGTCCTATGGGACTATGGGAGCCTGTGTGGCGACTGGGCCCTATGGGGCTATGGGGCCCTATAGGGCAATGGGAGCCTGTGGAGCAATGGGACCCTATGAGACAGCAGGATTCCTATGGGACAGCAGGACATGGGGACACCAATGGGACACCAGGACCCCCATAGGGCACTGAGACACCCTGGGACCCCTATAGGACACCAGGACTCTCTGGGCGCCCCAGAGGGATGGCACTGGGACCCCCTGGGGACACTGGGACCCCTCTGAGCTGCAGCTGGAGGTGATGGGGTCTGTTGTGTCCCCCCATCCCTATGTCCTAATCTTCTCCATACCCCATATCCCATATATGCTATATTCTATATCCCGTATATCTCATATCCCATATCCCATACCCCGTATTTGCCATATCCTATATCCCATATTCCATATATCCCATATCCCATATATCCCATACCCCATATCCCATATATTCCATACCCCAGATCCCATACCTCATATCCCTTATCCCATATATCCCATATCCCATATATCCCATACCCCATATCCCATATATTCCATACCCCAGATCCCATACCTCATATCCCTTATCCCATATATCCCATATCCCATATATCCCATACCCCATATCCCATATATTCCATACCCCAGATCCCATACCTCATATCCCTTATCCCATATATCCCATATCCCATATATCCCATACCCCATATCCCATATATTCCATACCCCATATTCCATACCTCATATCCCTTATATCCCGTACCCCATATACCATGTATTCCATATTCCATATATCCCATACTCCCTATGTGATACCCCGTGTCTCATATGTTATATCTCATACCCCCTCATATCCCTTATATCCCCTACCCCATATCCCATGTATCCCATATTCCATATATCCCATACCCCATATGTGATACCCCGTGTCTCATATGTTATACCTCATACCCGTTATATTCCATACCCCATATCCCATGTATTCTATATTCCATATGTCCCATATCCCACATCCTATATATCCCACACCCCATATTCCATATCCCATATATCCCATACCTCATATCCTATACCCCCTATCCCATATATTCTATACCCCGTATCCCATACTCCATATCCCATATATGACATACCCCGTATTCCACATCCCATATGCCCCATACTCCATATCCTATACCCCGTATCCCGTATTCCCTATCTTATATCCCATGTCCCTATCTATTATTGCACATTCTCTATATCATCACTGTACCTCATATCTTATATCCCCTATTCCCTATTCCTTATCCCATCCCCCATATCCCATATCCCACCTCCACACCCCGTGTCCTCCACCCGCACCCACGCTCCGCAGTGAAGGACGCTGACGGGGTCCTGTCCCGCTACAAGAAGATCCTGACGACGTTCCAGCGCCTCAAGAGCATGAGCCGCGCGTTCGCTCACCACCGCGTGGACCGCAACACGGTGGCTCTGACCACCCCCATCGCGGAGCTGCTGCTCGTGGCCCCCGAGAAGCTGTCGGAGGTGGGCGAGTTCGACCCCTCCAAGGAGCGGCTCCTCGAGTACTCGCGCCGCTGCTTCCTCGCCCTCGACCCCGACACGCTCCAGAAGGTGCAGGCCCTCAAGAAGAGCAAACTGCTGCTGCCCATCACCTACCGCTTCAAGCGGTGAGCACGGCGGGAGGGACACCCAGAAACAGCCCTGAAACATCCCCGAACGCCCTCAAAACAGGCCCGAACGCCCCTGAAATGCTTCAAAACGCCCCCGAAACGCTTCAGAACGCCCCAAACGCCCCCAAAACACTTGAAAAGACCCCAAAACACTTCAAAAAGGCCCCAAACGCCCCTGAAATGCTTCAAAACGCCCCCGAAACGCTTCAAAACGCCCCTGAAACACTTCAGAATGCCCCCAAATGCCCCTGAAACGCTTCAAAAAGCCCCCAAACACCCCTGAAACACTTCAAAACACCCCCACAACACTTCAAAATGCCCCCAAAGCCCCTGAAATGCTTCAAAACGCCCCTGAAACACTTC